AGCTCCAATAAACGCTCTCTTGCATCCCAATGTTGGCTTCTCGTGCTTCTTCCTCCTTCCCCACCTACCCCCACCATATAGCCCTCATGGTGCTGGTCTCTCTCAGYTCCTGCACCATCTTGCTTAGGGCCTGGGGCTACTTTGCTTGATATATCCTAAGGAATGCTCGMCCTRGTTTCGACCGTGGAGAGCATGTCCCATGAGCTGTCCCGCAGTACTGAATACCACTGCCTTTCCTGGTCTCYCTTTGCTCCTGTCGAAGGATTGTGGACATTCTGCAGAATTCTCTCGGAAATGGGCAGCACAACCTTGGCTGAGAGCTTAGGGATGGATGCCAAGCCCTGCTTTTCTGGGTTCACAAAAACGCTCTACGAGCTGCATTGAGGGCTGAAGAACAGAGACTATCTTGCATTTGTGCTGCTCTAAGCCAGGCTCTGAGGGCTGCCATGAGGCCTCTGCAGCAGAGACTAAGTGCTGCATTTTTGGGTCTAAAACCAGGCTCTGSGGGCTATTTTGGGGCATTCAGAATCAGAAGCAGAGTCTTGTGTTTTTGCTGCTCTGAACTAGGTCTCCTGCACTGGTTTCAGAGCTCAGCAATGGAGACTAAGTCACTCATTTTTGAACTGATTCCAAAGCTGATTCCGTGGTTTGGTTGGAGAGGTCACAAATGGAGACKAAGTCATGTGTTTTGGAGCTTGAAAATGGAGACCAATTTTCCTGTTTGCAGCCCCAAAACAGCAGCCAGGGGATGGGTGGGGGGAAAAGGGTGGCTGGGTGTGTGGACCCTCACCAGAGATGGGAGTCCATTTGCGGGCATGACAGCAGAAAATCCCCCATGTACCAGGCCGAACTTTGAGTTTGACTTAGAATATGCAGGAAAAGGCGCTTTGGGGACCCCCTTCTTCAGTGCTTGTGCAACTGCCGGACTCTTTAGTTACTAGGGAGGGACTTTCACCGTGGATGAACTATTAAAGATGATATCAATATGCAAGTTGGGACAGTGATTGGTTTACCACCTTGGCAGTAGGGAACACCGCAGGCGCCGCAGAAGAGTGGGAGAGAGACAAACCCAGGAGACACCATGGGGTCAGTCCCACATTTTATTCAAGGTTCAGCCAATACTTCCAGCTCAGAGCTAGTGAATCATTAGGCAGCAGGGAGTCAATGCGCATTCAATATTCATAAGGCAAATGTGCAATCAGGACAAGCTGTTGACAGGGAGGTGACATAGGGAAACCAAGGAGTCATCATCAGCCCATACTTCCAACTCCTACATAAACAAGTTTTTTTGTTTTATCCTATAAACAACTTCAAGAAGATAATTAGATAAACTTGTTTCTCTGACAGAGTTCATTTATCACATAAACGTAATTAACAGGAGAATCAGATAAATCAGACAAACAAGCTTTTGTTATTTTATCTTACATTTACACACAAAAGTTACATTGCAGTTACATAAACGCTTACAGTGTTTGAAGCAACATGAAGTCCCTATGGGTCTCATAGGCCCCAGGCTCAATGCACTGAGCACTGCGCACCACAGCACCACCCACACAAACCATTCCCCTCTTCCTTGAGCCCCCCTTGCTCCTTACTCACCGGCTCCAGCGCTCAGGAGGCTCCGATGCTGTGCAGGGCTCCAGGATTTAGATGACCCTGCGTGTGCAGGGGGGTTGGACTACATGACCTCTGAGGTCCCTTCAAACCTTAAGCATTCTGTGATTCGGTGATGGCCGCGAGTTCTGAGCGGGGAGAGGGCCAAGTCCTGGCCTACCTGGGACTCTCTTGTCTGCGACTTCCCGGAGCCGCGAGCGCTGCCCGCCCAGTGCCGCTGCCTCTGCCTCCTGGCAGAACCGCCACTCCACTGCCACCCAGTACCGCTTGCTGCTCCCGGCTCCAGTTCCGCCCTGCCCGGCGCCGCCCGCTTGCCCACGGCGGTGCCGTCTGGCGGCCGCTCCCGGCGCTGCTCGGCCCCAAACTGGCGCTGGGGACAACGCAGCCCCTGGCTGGCCCTGCCGGGGAGCTYGAGCAGAGCACACCTCGCAACCCCCTGCCCGCCAGCTGCTTGAGCGGGACAAGCACAGAGAGCCCTGTGGCCGGGGCAAGTGTCCCCTGAGKGGGGCACGAGCGGAACCTGCACTGCTGCTGCCTGCTCCTGGACAGCACCCGGCTCCGAAGAGCAGCAGYGAACAAGCTGCCAGGGCATGTAATTATCAGTCTTCCACTTGTTGTTTCTGCATCCTTTTGGTTCCTCTCTTTTTATGCCGTTTTCCGTTAAAGAATCCTCATTGCATGAAGAAGAGTTTGCTCTTCTTGTTCTTCATGAATGTGACATATATTTCTACGACTAATCATTGTTGCTAGGTGTTGTGTGTCCAGTGGATTGTCTTTAGAGATTCCCTTATATTACGAAAGTCTCAGAAATGATTTCTGAAATTCAGTATAGCAAAGTTGTCACTGAACTGCTACCTTCTTGACAAGAAAAAGCATTCAAAAGTAAGACCTCAGTGTATTTTTTATTGCTCCGTATCAGACTTAAAATTAAGCAAGTGGGATGTTTTCTGAAAGGATGTCTTCCCCATTTATACTTTGGGGAAAAGATAGAGTCTTTAAAAGGAAGAGAATATAGTGGAAATAATATAGGTTATCCAAAGCCCAGGGAATCCAAAGAAGGGTGAGGGAAAGCTTACAACGGGAGCCCAAGTGATGTTTCTTCTATGTTCCATTAATGGTGAAGGAGTTTGGTGCAGCATCAACCCTGCTCATCTGCACAAGAGACTTGAACAAGAGTTTCCTGCTACTCTGCAGTGTCTGGAGCCTTGCTTTGGGACAAAGCCCTGGGGGGACCCTCTATCCTGAGGAAGATGTGGCAAATTTGGGCTGGAGCCCTTCCTGAGCCACTGTGGGCACTGCGGTCTGCAGATGGCCAGKACTTAGGTTGCTCCTGGATGGTGTCAACCTTCAGCATGTGTCGACTGTGAACATGGGTGAACAGTAGCGACTGCGGAGAAGAGGATTCTCAGGACTCTGTAACATTTGGACATGAAGAAACATGGACTGCCTACAACTGTATGTAAATATACTTTAAATSTAGCTGAAATGTGAAAAGAAAAAGGCTTGATTGCATGGCAAAAAACACCCAGAGACCTTCTACAGAACAGAAAATTTATTTGGAATGAAACGGCTTTTCTATAGTTTGGGAACAAAATTGTACAGAGTATGAAGACTTCTCAGGTTTYCACAGGCACCAGTGGGGTCGAGGTGATGCAGCCCATGAAGCGCATTTCTCTACTACGGTGCAGCTGTGGGCCATGTCTAGCATCCAAAATCAGGGTCAAAGTCAATACTATATCTGGGACAGGACAAAGCACAGTGCAAGCAGATGGCTAAACTGCAAAGCTGGCAGAGAGGAAATCTAATATAAAGGAGGAACAAGGGCTGCACACCTGAGCCTACTGGGAAGGTGCTAGGCTGGGGCTCATCTCAATGTCTCATTGTCTTCAGCTGGGACCAGGCAGCACCTAATGCTCAGCTCCACTCTGTTCCTTCCCCATTTTGCAACCTGGAGCTTCCTCCACGTGGACTCCATGCGGCAGCACCTGGGATCAGTACGTCCACCGTTTCCCGGAGCGGTATGAGTTGCATGGATGCGTCCATTGGGAAGAGTAGGTGTAGGAGTACTTGGGGACGTATCGTGGCTCCGGTCGAGAGAGCACCTGGGGGGCAAGTTTCTCGGCAGCTGCCTCCAGCTGCCCGGCCACCTCAGTGGCCAGAGGTGCTGCAGCCAGGGGCTCGGTCAGTGCCACCTCGGGTGACTCTGAGCTTCCCACCACCGTCTGCTGTGGACAGGTGGTGAGGATGGGCCCTGGGAAGGTGACCACGACRGGCGGCGGGAAGATGATCACCCGCGAGTCGGGGCAGGCCACCACACAGGGCTCGTTGCTGCTGGCAGCCAGGGGCTGGGGACACTTGGCCTCACAGGATACGGCCGATGCCAGCTGCTCCGAAGCCATCAAGGGGAAACACCTGGAATTTAGCTGCAGGACAAGGAAAATGCAGTGAGCCAGRGGTGAGGCTTCCTAAGCAGAGCTGTAGCAAATGTTTAGGAAGAACGTGGGTTTGGATAAAGGCATCAGCCCTGCACTGCTGCCTTTTGCCTGGCTCATGTCTGGTTTTTCTGCCTTGTTTTCCTCATTTTATTTCTCCTTCTCTGGGAGAAAACATTCTTGGGAGTTGCCTCCAAAACCGGCTTCAAAGCCTCYGAGCCCTCTGTGATGTTCCTGGAGGCAGGACAGGCTGGAGCTTGTTCGGGCAGTGACTCTTCTCCTCCCACATGCAGATTCTCAGGCAGCACCTGCAGGCGTGGGGGAGAGGGGAAAACCTCGTTTCCTACAGATATAGATGTAAAGTGTCTGATCTGCCTTGGTTCTCTGTGACTGTGCAGGAAGCTGATGTGAGAACAGCTGAACATGGATTTTTTGAATACCCAAACTAGTGCATTTTGTGTGTTGTGTTGAAGTTCTGAGTTTCTCACWCAATTTCACATCTGGCTTAATTCTTCCTGCTATTTTCCTTTTCTCTTATTTTGCACTGTGAATGAGCGATGTTGTTGAACCGAATGAGAATGATGCAGCTTCAGCACAGGGCACAGAGATTTAATAGCGTTTATTTCTTATTAAACCTTAGCATTGTCACGGTAGCATTGTACTAATTCTTACTGTAAAGCCGCAAATCAGCAATGTTCTATAGTGACAAATAAAATATCTTATTTTACTCMCAGGTAAGTCCTGTGGGCTAGTGTAAAGTAAAATTATTTTCCTGAAACTCYGGAGAATAGGAGGAGGACTCAGGGTCTAGACTTTAAATATAGAACCATCAACATTTGCTGACAAAGGAGCTATTAAATTGCCAATAATAAACTAAAAAAATCTCTTAGAAGTTGCTTTCTATGACTTCCAAAATCCCGTCCTGCCTCATGCGGGTGCTCGAGGCATGGGACGGGACAAGCCAGGCAAGGAGCTGCTTGACCTATTCTCCTGTCTTGAATATCTTCAGAGAAAGTTAAAACTGTCCTCGAATGCATCATGCTAGGAAAAATAAGCAGACACAGGAATTTCCCCCAATCCCTTTAGGTTAGAGCTTAGCTTTAACAACAAAAGCTTAATTTCACTTCTGCAGGAGCACATTAAAGCAGCAGCAAGGTTGTGTCTTAGTAGTTAGAAATGAACATTCCTAGTTGTATTAAAATATCCCSATCTGACTTACCATGTATCTCACCGACTCAGCGAGTCTCGAAATTAAGATCGGCGGGGTTGCGAGCAAAAGCAGTGCGACATTTCTCTAGCTGCACGCAACCAACCCAAAAACACCGGAGAGGCTTTACTTCTAGTTACCACTGAAATCCCCCCACGTCTGCACAAAACAGCTGTCGAATCCCCATACGAGCCCCAAAAGCAAACCCAATGATAATATCTGTTCTTGGAGCACTTCTGAGAATTCCTCAGAATTAAGACCTTGAAATTCCTCATTCTCACATAAAATTACTAGCCTCAAAGGAGTTTTGAGAAACCCTCAGTTTTATTCTTACAGCCTTTATCCAGTATTATCTGTTAAAACAAATCTCCAGAAAAAATMATCAGAAAGATACTTGCTAATATCCAAGAATCAGAGTATTTATGCAGGAATCAGTCCCAATTTTAGCAAAATTTTGTCTAAAGCAAAATTAAACTTAAGTTCTTTTTCTTTTAATAGTTGTCAAAACAGACTTACTCAGTGCACCGGAGAGAACAAGTCAAGAGAAGGAGCTAAAAGAAGCCTCGCACTGAGAGCATTTTTATACCCTTGCTGGGATTGCCCAGAGGCACAGACACTGTTTGTGTAAAAGGCTTTAATTACACATGAAACACACTGCCCGATCCTCCCTGGCTGCTGTCATTGCTCTTCCTTACTGCTTTTGATTATCTGAGTCTGCCTTAGATCATGGTAGGAGATGCAGATTGTAACCTGCAGGTGCCTTTCATCTCCTGGTTTCCTGCTCTACTGACTTTGTCAACTCTTGCATTTTTAATTTTATTTTAATTTTAAATCTTTAAAATTTCAGAATTTAAAATTTTAGAATTTAACATTTTAACTTAACTTGTGCTTTTTTAATTTTTAATGCACTTCTTGTGACTTAGCTCCACAAATAACATAACTGAACTGGAGGTCACAGGACATCCATCACAACTTATTTTGTGAAAATTAAGACTTGTTTTCCTTACTGAGATCACAGGTCAACACCTATGTTTTCCTGCCAGGGCCTGGATATATCTTTGGAAACTCAGGGCTTGTTTTTCAGCTTGTGTTAATGYAGCTTGTATCTGCTCTTACCTAGGCTAGACTGAGTGTTAGAAACTCTCTCTTTAACCCAAATTAAGCTGTTTCAAATGATGAAGCTTAGAATTAGGAGCTGATATAATGAATGTCTTGTGGGTTTTGCTCTGTATGAGGTCAGAGCAGTCTAACCCCACTAAGGTGTTATTAGTATTCACATAGAATAATCTCCATATATAATACACATTCCTGGAGCTCTTTGAAATCTCCCTTCTCAATGTCTCCAGGTTATTCCCAATAAACAATCCAGTCTGGGAGGTCTTTAGGTGTCCGGCAAAATACATCACAAGCGCACCCATTAAAAACTGTGGATTTAACTCATTTAAATGGGCTCTGTATTTTTATGCACCAAGCATTGCTCACAGAGATGCCACGCAGGGAAAGGGGCATTTCAGGCCCCTTGGTGTGTGTCGCTTCAATTTMCAGGCAGACGAGTCCTGGGATGAGGTTCTCCGGACACCTACTTTTTTTGCTTGTAACCAGGAGCCTGAACATCATGTGCCTTGGAGGACCTTGCCACACAGCAGAATATATACGCRTATATTTTTAAAACTTTCAGTGTCTTTTCATTCTGACTTTGGGGGATTTCTTGCTGGAAAATGCTTTAGACTGACCCTGGCCCAAAATTACCTTTGCAAAACATATGCATGAAATGAATCCTACAAAAAGATCCCAGCAGAGTTCTCTTGAGCTGTCATTTGGGAGATCTCTGGCACAACAGAGATGGAATCCCAGGTGTTGTGTTGATACAGTTCCTTAACTGCAAAACAATTTTCTCTTTTCAAATGCTGCAATTTGCTCTTTTTTTCCCCCAGTTTTTCTTTGCTCTAGGAATGAATAGCAATGGTAAAAAAGACAATGCAAGGCAGAGTGATGTGGAATGTATACCACACAATATGAATATTAATATCCTAAGCAGCTATTACAGAAAAACATTTGAGAAAATTATATCCCTGTGTAAGGCAGGGACAGCGTTCATAATTCTTTCCTCTCAAAGATATGATCTGCGTGGTCCAACCGGTCCTGTGCAACTTCAGAGCGCAAAGGCTTTGTTTTTAAAGCTGAGTCAGGAGCGCTTGCTAATGAAGAAATAACCGAGAGAAAATGCTGCTGATGTGGATCAGCATCATTCACCCCTGAGCTTCAAAGACGCTGAGCTTGCTGACATCATGGCTATGCTACATCAGCAAAAACTGCCCATTAGGCAAACRAAAACTGAAATATAAGTTCAGATCGTTACCAAAAGTTAATCGGTTATGAAGTATAGTAGATGGACCCACTATGTTTTGCCCCGGCAAGAACTCATCTGCTTAATGATTTTTTTTTTTTTTCATAAGAAATGCAGGGGAAAATGGAGGCAATGAGTGCTGGTCTAATTAGGACAGTGCAAGCAATGACCTTGATGCACCTCCCTCAAAGTGATCCTGTTGCCCAACGCGAGGCGTCACACACTGCTTGTTGTCATAATCCAACTATTTGCATAGGCAACATATTACAGTGTGTTTGTGAAATGTTTTCAATCCTCGCAGCATTCTCACAGCGTTTAATTATTCTGGGTGTTTCCATAGACATCGCGTAAATCCTGATTTATGGCAGAAGTAGTGTAATAAACAAAAACTTGCAGAATGCGTGATGAGGGAGAAGGAGGGTTTTCTCCCAGGGAAATTGTCATTTCTACAAAATAGCCTCTTTGCTGCTGATGCTCTGTTAAGGTTTAATGGTGAAAAGGGGAAATTTTGCTGCAAGATGTGGGAAGACRAAGTATGCAGCATTGATGCTTTGCAGATTGTCAGGTCCCTGCCATGGGGCTAGGATTCCCTGGCTTTTACACATCTTCAGCAACTTAATTTCTAGGGTTTAGAGGCTCYTGGGAAAATTCAGAGCTGAACTAGACTTTATTACTGATAAGCAACMTCCAGCCCTGAAAAGATGACTAATTTGCATGAAAAACTTTGCAAGAAACGTGCAAAGAAAACTGGGAAAACTTTTTTGCAAGAAAGTCCTTTTTGCAGGCAAATTTTCCTTAGGAAAGGAAGCAAAGGGAGCAGGACAGGAGAGAAAAGTGCAGAATTGTCAAGTGAAACTTTGAAGACCAATTTATGGGGGAGACAAAAAAGGAGTATTATGAAGACATAATACTGTGTTTTGGTGTAGTGTAGAAATGAGTCATAGGTGCAAGATGATGATCAAGCAGATCCCGCTTTGCCTCCACAGCTCCCTCTCATAGCTCCATGCAGTACTGCACAGATAGCCTTGGTTTCCCTCAGAGTCCTCCCAGCCCATCACTGTGCGCCTGGAGGGAGTGATACAGAGGGCAGCAGGCCCAACGACTTCACTTGTCACCTCTAACCCACACGCTTTTCTTGGGTGAGTTGGACTAAGACCATGGAGACAGAGACCAGGGAATGAAGTGAGACTATAGAGGTCCAGGCTGAGATAAGAGACTGAGTTGGGCCTGTTCAGCTTGGAGAAGAGAAGGCTGAAAGGGGATCTGATCACCATGTGTAAGTTCATGAAGAGAGAATGTCGGGAGGAAGGGGCCAAGCTCTTCTCATTGGTAGCCAGTGATAGGACAAGGGGAAATGGGTGTAAGTTGAAGCACAGGAAGTTCCATCTCCATGTGAGGAGGAACTTCTGCACT